CGCTGATTCATGGGGCCCCGCGCCGGCTGCCTGGGCGAGGAGAGCGCGGCGCTGCCGCTGCCCCCGCGCGGGGTGTGAAGCCCCCCCCCCTCCTCCGCAGCCCCGGGCTCGCCCGCCCTGCTCGGGAGTGTGGTCCCTGCCGGGAGCCGCCGCGCCTGGCGCACAGAGGGAAGCGTTGATGCATCGCTGTGGAAATTCATTGTGTGACTTTCTGGGTATTTACTGAGTTTCAGACCGAGATGCAGCTCTTGAAAGCTTTATGGGCACTAGCAGGAGCAGCGATCTGCTGTTTTCTTATATTTGTCATCCACTCACAGTTTCTTAAAGAAGGTAATTATATCTGCATGTCTACATACCCTCTTCTTTAATACTAAGGTCTTTACGAGGTGCCTTAATTATTTTTACTGTTTCCAGTATGTTCTATTTACAGCAGTGCTTCAACGCTGTTTCTCCTTTCCGTTAAAACCTTCTCATTCTTTAATTTTTCCTTTAGATAATAGGCAGCTTTAGACTTACATTCTTGGTAAACGTATATATATAAAATCTGTATGATGTTTGTATTCAGCGTTTAGCCAATGTCTCATTTCTTTATGGGGCATGTACAGTGTATATCGAATATTTGTTGCTATCAGATGACCACAGAACAGTAGTCATTATGGGATGTATTAATAAACCAAAAAACCTGTAAGAAGTAAACGTATTATTTTTTTAGCAAATCAATAGGCATCCTTTCCCTCTTCTTCATTCAGTACATTTTCAATAGATGGCACTAAAGTTCTACGGAAAGGGCAGGGCAGAGCAAATCCTGGGCGTTCAGCATCTTCCTTCTCGCTGCCCCAAAAGTGAAGAGGCCTTTGCATGGTTTCAAAGCTCCTGTTTTTTCCACCTTGTGGCCAGAAAAATGTGATTACAATTTACTGGAGAAACAGTTTGGATTGTGGGGCAGTCTTCCTTCATTCTTTTTCCCACATAAGTCGGCTGGAAAAAATATGCTTGATGAAGTGGATAGAGGAATTTTCTTGGGGAGTAACCTTTGCATTGCTCTTTTTGTTTTCTTTTTGTTTTGTTTTCTTTTCTTGGAAAATCACTCATTTTTTCCCCTCCCCTCTGTTAAAATAACGAATCCATTGCTTATTTGTAAGGGGAGCTATGGTCTGAGACTCAAGTGTTAATCTTGAGAGTTCTGTATATATTTGGTCTTGTGTGGGAAAAGCCCAGTGCTGTTCTTTAAGCAGCGTTAACAAATATAACGCAAAAATATGAGGCTTTTGGTGGAACCTTTTATTCTTTTTTAGCATAGCCATATAGTTGAGATTGTAGCTGCCTAAAGAAGCAGCCCAGTTCAGCTTGGAGTGCTGGCTGTACACAGCATGGGAGAAAACTTTTATGTGACTAGGACAAAGTTTCACTCAAGACTGGGCAGAGTGACAGCCTTGCAACCACTGAAGTATTGCTGCTGATTTTAGTTCAGTGTCAGTCCAAAAAAAGCGTGAGACTGTACATTTTCATGGATATTTCTTGAAACACATAAGCACTGATTTGTCTGATTTGGTTAATTAAGAAGTGTTATCCATGTATCTCCAGTGCCAGAGATTTCTCCTTTTAGAATCCTGACCATACTTTAATTTCATTGTGTGCAATGCCTCCCACATGGTCACTTATTTAATCATCTTTTAAAATGCTTGGACTGGCGTATTTATTTATCTTTGTCTAATGAGATGACTTGTTGAGATTTTGCAGAATTAAATATTGCCAGTCATTTCAGGCTATTTTTTTTCTCAGTGTTTGCCATTATGCCTTTTTTTTTTTTTTTTCTTTCTTCAGTCTTTCACTGCTTGATTTTGAGACCAGTGTTACTGTAAATAATGCATAAAGGAAGAAGCTTTTTGTTTCACTTAAAATATTTCTTCCTGCATTGTAGAAGTTGAAAACTAGCAAATTAATGTGTGAAAACAGAAACCATGGCCATACACCAAGGACTTTAACATAGTGTACTTTGCTTCTCCTTCAGCAATTGCAGCCACTCTTAATGTGGACTGCAGAGAGAAAACTGAAGTTCCTGAGCTTGTTGGATAACTTAATTGCATCAGTTTGTTTATACTTCTGAACAAAATCTTTCTGCTTTGTTTATCACTGAGAACATTATACTAACTGTAAATACAGATTGTGTGTATTGGGCTAGTTGTCAGTCTTTTTGTGACAGGTGCTAATCTCCAGAATACCATTTTGATCCCTTTTGTATAATTATGTCAGCAATGTATGTATTCTCTGTAGTTTAAATAATTACAGAGAATAGTTTAGTGGAATTGATTCGAAGTCTACATGGCATAACAGAGTTTTTCCTGTATGTAGAACTTATAGAATATCCAACAAAAATCATTGGTTCAAGCATAATATATTCAAATGCAGGCATCTAAGAGAAGTAGAAATAGATAACAGAAGATTTAAACTAAATATTGTAAACAGCTTGCAAAAGCAAAATTCACATTCCTTTTCTTTCTCATTATAAAGCCTGTCTTTTTTTAAAAAAATATTTTTTTAATTATTATTTTCAGTAAGAAAACTAGGGACAGAAGTGTGAGGAAAAGACTAGCAAATCATTTAACCATGTTCCTACCACATTGGTTTACTAAGTGAATATATATAAAAAGACTACAGGTGAGATAACTGTTACCTTACTTTCAGAAGATCTGAAATTCTTTTCTGAGACCAGCATTACTCCTTTACATTAAAATTTTAAGAAAAGTTAAAAATTGTATGTCTCATTGCACACAACATTGTTAGCCTTGATTTCCTTGGCAGAAAGGATTAGTTTTCCATTGGAGCCTAATAAACTACATGGGCTGATTGTTTGTAACTCGGCTGTGTGGCCGAAGTCTTAAGTTAAATGCTTGGACATTTTCATTTTATTATTTCTTTTGCAGAAGGGTAATTGCCTGTGGTCCCAAAGAACAAACAAGTAAGCCACCAGTTTGCCCAGCTTGATTAGATTGGTTGATAGCACAAATCTGAGACAGTTTAACAGTACAAGCTCATGCACCAAGCATCTCTTTTGTGTTCAAGACAATTGGTTTAGAAAGAATGACATGTAAAATTAATTAAAGGTCTGACTTACTAATGCATGCTTTTTCCATTTTTACTTGTTTTGTAATATTTACTGTATGTTAGTTTTCCAGAGGCAGGTCTTAATAGAAAGCTGACATAATCTTCACTTCTTGCCTCAAAATGATACAATTACCACTTATATTTTTCTATATTCATTTTCCTTATACTTACTTGGAATTAATGATGTTATCACTTATGTCAAACTCTTATCACCTATTAACACAAGATATTTTTATAGTTTCAGTTGTACTGCATGACTATAGTGTGTAGAACTCACATTACATCCAGCTGATACCTATTACAAGAACCAAATTTTCCTTCAGTCACAACGAGATTATGTGTTGCAACAGTCAACTGAGAGTTTTCACACTGTTATTTTAAAATTTTAATTCTTATTCTGAAATTACATTTTCTGTAAGTATCTGTGTCTTCATTTTTTTTTTTTTTATGTTTTTTTGATCTAAGGCAGTTTAGTACAAGCATTACATTACTGCCCTTTAAATGGTGTTAAGAAACAATGAATGCTTGTTCTGAGATGAGTGGGAAAGAGCTGTTTAAATGTCTATTTTCCTGAATATGTTTTTCTCAGGAAGTGAAGAATGGGTGACACAGGGTGCCATTTTTCCACACATAGGCTTTTGTGTGGAAATACAGGTCGTCCTGTGGCTAATCCGTTCCCTATGTCCAATCTGTCCTTCAGTGTTTCTAAAAGATGAATAGAGCTGTGAACCCAGAAAAGGGTATTGTGATACATAATTGCAGTCCCATGCCTGCCTGATCTTCCTGCAAAACAGTCTAACATAGTCTAGTCAGCTGCAGTTGGTTCTGAAGGGGTGTTAAACATCAAAATATCTAAAACTTTTTGCATACACCACTGGGAATTAAAAGCAAGGAATTACATTTCCTACTTACGTCTGATTTGCAATATTTTGTAATTATTATTCTTGAACACATTTATTCAAAGAGAACTGAAAACCATCGAGTTCATGTTACACGCAGTTGTGGGAACTCCATTGCTCCCAGACAGTACCCTTTTCACCTGGTAGAACATTTTAACAGTTCAGAGAAAGTAGCAATGGAGAAAGGTGAAGGATCCAGTTTCTAAATGTGTCTTTGAATCCCAGAGAAAGTAGTGCAGTTCAGGAGTAACTTCAGAAGGGTATGCTTGTATTGCAGCCAGGGTGTGTTACAGTCCTGGATAAACTTTTAAGCTTTATTTTTCCTGTGATTGCTTATTAGGAGACTGGAATATCTTATCTATCAAGGGTGATTTAATATTTTGATAGGTTTATGAAATGAGGGTGGTGTGAGACTTGTTTGGAGAGGGACTACTCAGAAACATGAATTCAGTCTCAAGAATCTTACTTGAAGTATGGAGGATTGCAGTACTCAGATCTCAAAATCAGATTCTTAATCTGTCAGCTAGGATCTCTGTAAAACAGGGTGATTTTCTGTTGATAATGCTGCAGCTGTTGAGACAAGAGAATTCCGATTCTTCTGTTACAACCAGATGATTATGGCTATAAACCAGACTTTAATATCACTTGTGCAGATTTAGTATCTACTTATATATATGAATAGGGTATCTGTTTAGCACATTTTTCATAATTACATTTTTTTTTTCTGCCTTAGGCAAAATTTAGCAGTAATTGGTTACACTCCTGTTGGCACTCCTCTGTCAAACGCATTTAAAGGAATTAGTGTCACAATAGCAAAAAATACGGCAACATTTTCTTTAAAATAGTGCATTTATTGATCATAATACTTTGGCTAAGTTTTCTACATAATACCTTTTATTCTGTCACTTTTTACAGATTTAAGTATTTTAGCCTGCTCTAAAAGTTTGGGAAAAGCTCTATGCATATTTTTTTGTGACTTTAGGGTGTGCATTTTGACACTGAAAATAAGGAACGTTATTCTATTTAGCTGTATAACCACAAACAACTCCACCACTCCTCTGCTAATGTTTGCAGATGTCTACTGACAGTATGCCCAAGATCATTTTTTTCAGAGCTTTCTGTTCGTACCATCTGATAGCTTTATAAACTTGGTAAAACTAATTTTTGCTGCTCTGTAAAACAATTTATAGGAAAGGTTTTGGGATCTTCTAAAACTTGTTAAGATGAATTTAATTTTAACTTATTAAGGTAGATAATATTGCTAGGCATTCTTAGTATTTCTTTTAATCTTGTAAATATTAGAAGATATATAGACTTGAAACAACA